CAGCCAGCCCTGACTGCACACACACATGCCCGGCAGACTCAGGAAGGTTTCTGGATGCAAACTTAGAATTGTACCACGAGGATCAGCCTTGCAGGGCATCTTGTTTTACTGCTGTGTCACCATCTAGTCCTTTCACCGCTGTTTAATCAAAACAGCTTAGCCTTTATCTTCCTTGTACACTGAGGTTCTAGGCAAGAAGAAAGGGTCTCATGGTATAGTAGTAGCTGGAATACTGCCAAACAAAAACAAATCCCGTCACTTGGGTGAATTTAGACTCCAGGCTTTTTAGTTTTGCACTTAAAGTCTTGCACGATCCGTTTCCTTTTCAATGCTGTTTTAGCCACAGATAACTCAGTATCTCGACCACCTGCTTCCCACGACCTCATCACTTGGCTCATGGAGCTATTCTTCTCTCCCTCTGCCCTTCCAAAACTTCTCTATTTTTCTAAACCCTGAGGGAGTGCTCTTCTTACACGAAGCCTTCCAGGACTGAAACGGAAAGCTTGGAGGAATCACCGCTGGGAGGTGGGAGGGAGAGAGGGTTCTTCCAACGTGTTAACTTGTCATGACCTTTGTGAAGTCCTGACTGGATAGAGCACAGGAATATGACCAAATATCTCAGAGAGAGGAGTGAAAGGATGGTGCAAAGAGCCTGGAAGTAAGATGACATAAGCCTTCCTGCTCCTGCCCCTGGGTTTGTTCCCTGCAGTCAAACCCCAAGGGCCAGGCAGTCAAGTGCTGATTCGGTCCAACTCCACAAGAAAATAGAGTAGACAGACCCCCTTGGCCGTCAGCAGCCCACTTCTGGCACAGACCTTGCCCTCTGGCTTTTTCTCAGTGATAGAAAACATACAGAGCAGGTACTGGCGAGTAGGAGAGGAGGGGTCTGTTTTCTCCTTTGTTAGAGAGGAGGGTGCGGAGAGTGCAGAGTTTTCTCATCCCTAGAGCTGTCAGCCTGACCAGAACAGGCATTCATTTTCAGAATAAATAATCAACTCAAAAAATGTACCAAATTCATTTTCAAATTGGCTTGTCAGACACACGTTTGCCCGGGACAAGTCTGTTGAATAAAATGTATCTTGGGGAGCAAGGTGAGCGGGCCGTCTCATTCCCTTAGGGACATCTTGTAAATAAGGGCCATTCTGGAGGCCGGAAGCAGAGAATTCCCCAGCACAGATTGAATTCTGGCTTTGTCTTAATGAACGTCAATATTTATTACCAAAGGCGTTGTGCTCCTTGGAGTGATCGAGCATTTCACCATTTCAGCTCTCGCCTGTTGCCTTCCCAGGTACCAAATGCTATGTAATTGCTGCTCATAAAGGCGGCAGACAATATTGCAGGGAACCTCACTCCTGGCTGTAAATCTTCATAATCAAAACCAGCAGAGCTTTGCTTTCGGTTTGGACAGAATGTCCCTGAGGGCAGGGCCCACCCAGAATTTTCTGGTTCTCCTATTTTGGTGGGGAGACCTAAACACCCTCTTGAAGCAGGGGCTCTTTCTGGGATCAGGGATAAGGGCATCCTGTAAGGATCAGGAAGGCTGAGAAGTAACTGAATCACAGGCCTACCCCTGAGAGAACTGTCCACCCATCATAAATTTGGAACGGCCTTTTGAGGTTGCCCTGTCCAGTCTCTCACTGTGCAAATGAGGAAGATGAGACTCAGAGAGAAGTTTTTGTCAAGGTCACACAGCTCCCAGGCTATTGCCCTTCCCATTTGGTCACCCTGTCTCTTAGGAATTGAGCACTGAGTTTGGAAGGACCCCCTAAGCTGGCTGCTGGCTGCAAATGTCAGCGGCCCCCAGTAGGAAAGGATCTGAAGGGCTATTGCCAACAGGCCTGGTTTCCTGAGGCCTGTCCAGATGGGTTACTTCCTCCAGCTGATGAAAGTCTATGACCTGCCCTGGACTTTGCTGGGAAAATCTCTGAAAACCAAACTCCTGACTCTGTCCCCAAGCCAAGACCTTCCTGGGAGCAGCAAGTCCAGCTGGGGAATTTATACAAGGAAGTGGGATTCGTTCCAGCTTTTCTTCAGATCAAATAATCCATCTGTTTTTAGTAGGACCTTAGCTCTGGAGTGCACCTTTCCAAGAGAAGATTTAGGCAAGCAAAGAAAGCCCGAAATGCCTGAACACAGGCCGCCAGCCTGGGACCAAGTTCAGCTTCCGGTTCTGTTTCCTTTCCTCCTGCCAACTTACTAAGGACAGAGATGGCCCGGGGGCAGAGACACAAAATGGGTTTTAGAGAGTGATGTCATGTGGTTCTCAGACACCAGATCGCTCCGCAGAAACTGCCTGGCTGTTGTTATGGGAGTTGTGTTGGAGAGAATGATAACTTTTGACAATGGACATCTCATCTTGCACAGATGCGTCCTTTATAGAATCTGCCAGCAAGATTACAGCAGCATCACAGCGTAATGGGAAGAGGAGTCAATAATTCTGGGGTTATTGATTGTAACCAGACCCATTCTTCTTTTTTAATTTATATTTTATCCCCCTTTTCAACTTGTGCGTGTGTTTTTTTTTAAACCCATCCTGACAAAAGCATCGGCTAGATCAAATGCAGTTTGATTATATTTTTTAAAAATGATAGGAGTAATTTGCTGCCCTTAGGAGAGTCTGGGACAAGGCTGTCTGCAGCTAGCGGGGGTGGGGGGAGCAATGTATAGAGGGTGCAGGGTGGGGGAGAGGTGGAAAGGAGGGCAGAAGGCCTGGTGCATGGGAGGGCACACAGCCAGCATGGGGAACATGGCTGAGACCCTCCTGGCTGACCCTGAGCAAGGCCTTTCCCTGAAGCTGAGTTCTGATGAAGACTCCATCAGAGATTTTGGATTTCCTGTAGCTTTGTAGCCCCCTGAGTTCTAGTGTATCTAGAGGCTTTATTTACATCCCTCAGATTCTTCTTCCAAGATTCCTTCCTGCTAAGGCCAGTGAGTAGGTTAGGGCAGGTAGAATGTGCACTCGTACCTCCACACGGAACAGTCAAGTGTGTGCCCAAATAGTGTCCTCATTACGAGCGTTCATGAACAGGACACATGTCCTATTTATGTCCATGGTAACTATGTGCCCGTGTGCAAATCACTTAATTTGTTGAAATCTCAATTATGTTATTTGTAAAATAATTTGTAAAACATGGGGAATGATGACGTTGTCCTACCGCTCTGAGGAGCAACACTGATAGTCTGAACAACAACTTGGCATGCTTGCGTACAGGACTATGCATAACTTGACAGGTGTGACCATGCACTGCACATGGATGTTTCAGTCAATGACGGGCTACATGTCCATTGATGCAGCCATAGCCGAGGTGTGAGACGAGGCCATCCCGTTAGCCTAGAGTGTGTTAGGTCATACCATCTAGTTCACACAAGTAAGCTCTGCGATGCTGGCACACGGATGCAATCTCCTAACGACAATTCTCAGAACATACATTCTGCAATGTGTGACTATTTTTCATTGTTGAGTTGGGCTACAGAGGTGGGCTAGCAGCTTGTGAGTTATTAAGAAATTGACTATGTTTTTCATGTTCCCTATATCCCTTTTGTCTCTAATCCATTGTGTAGTCTGGCATGATAAAACCAGAGTGCACTTGCTGAGTAACCCTTGGTGAGTTAAGTCATCATTTGGATAATCCTCCTTGAGGGGAAATGACCAGGAACTTCTTTAGTTACCAAAACAGGTGCAATGTGAGTAACTGGTTCAATTTTTAAATTGTCCTGTGATTATACTTCCAATGAATGAGAACTTCCAGACTGTTTTCCATGAGCATTGATCAGAAACTAAATCATGGGATGCCCACGTTCGGAGAGAGTTTAATGATTGCCTAGTCCAAGCCTTTCTTTTTCTAGAACAGGAAAATGAGCCTCAGGGAATCTGAAATGATCTGCCTCATGACCTACAACTGATTTGGGTTAAAATCAGGAGCACTTCAGGACACTTTCCCCCATGCAAAATTTTCTTCTTCCTGTTTGTTTTCTTCCATTGGCAATAAGAGTGTGTGATCGTGGATTTCTCCCATAAATGTTATGAATCTTCTTCGAAAACTAAAACTTGCTAAACTAAATTACGAAACGTTCTTCCTCCTCTCTGCTTTTTGATTTTGGTTGGATCTGAACACAGCTGGGGCTTGAAGGAAGCACCGGAGGCAGAAATGGAGTTAGAATTAGTTCCCTTGTTACCCATTGACTCATCTGTCAAGGGTAGGCCTGGGTCATTTTCTTCTTGGCCAGGGCGGGTGCTGACATTCTATGGGGTGAGGGTTCGAGGTCAGGTCAAGAGAGAAAAAAAAGATCTTTATGTCATTGTGTTTTTCAGGGTGGACAAAAATACTTCAGATAAATTCTGGAGTGTGTTTCCATACCTAGGATGTGGAGGAGATTTGGGAATAGATATGAAAGAGAAAGGGGAACATTCTTTTTTCAAGCTAAGAACAGGAGACCAAGGGAATCCACAAAGATGACCACGATCCACTGGATGACTGTGACCTTAAACTCTCATCTGATCCTTCAGCAGCCCTCATTGTCAACCCCTATGCCCAAGAGCCAGAGACAGATACTGTCTTATTTTTCTTTATCTCTCTTCTCTCTGGGATGACAAATTTGTTTGGATGAAAGACACTAGCTTCTAAGTCAGACTTGAGTTTGAAAACTAACCTCAGAGCCAGCAGGTGATATAGTGGTTAAGGTGCTGGACTCCCACATGGTTGATCGTGGTTTGAATCCCAGAACAGGTAGCTTGAAACTCATGCTGGACGCGTTTGTGTAAGTGCCCAAAATGCCAAAAGGAGAGTGGAGGAGAAGGGATCGCAACATGGCTATCCTCCCTGGGGGTGATTTCTCACTTTCTTTCTCTCTGTCTCTGACAAGCTCATGTACCCTATAGCAAAAATCTCTCTCTAAAAAAAATAAATAAATAAAAGTAAGTTTTTACACTTGGTACACTTTGGTACACTTGGTAGTTACGTGAACTTGGGCAAATCACTTAATTTCTTGAAATCGCAGTTATTTTATTTATAAAACAGAGGTAATGCTGTCTGTTCTTTCTACCACTCTGAGGTTCAACACTGATGGTTTGTGTGGTAACATGGCGTATATTGGAATGTGCCGATTCACGGAACAGTCTTTTCTAAAAAGGAAAATAAAACTGTTTTAGAACCATTTTGGATTTACAGAATCATTGTAAAGATACTTCAGAGAGCTCAAGTCTCCTTAGGCTCCTCTTGTCTGTGACTGTTTCTCAAACTTTCTTTGCTTTCGGTGACCTTTTTGGTTCAGAGGAATACTGGTCTGGCATTTTGTAGCCTGACTCTCCAATGTGATTTGTTTGATGTCTTTCTCATGACCAAGCTGAGGTTATGGGGAAAGGGGGAAGGCCACATCAGTGAGGGACTGTTTTCATCACATGATGCCAAGGGTACATTGCTTAAAAGACTTTTCACTGTGTGCACTGACGTTATTTAATGTGTACTTCGTTATGTAGAAAGAGCAGTGACCTCGGTTTCAGAAAGCCCCTGGTTTCTGGGTCACCAGGCCCTTCCTGGCCCTGGAGTTGAGAGTTCTGGTGGGCTTTTCTCTGTAATGGAACAGGCTCTCTCCTTTTAGTCACCTGGGCCTGACACTAATGAGCTGTTAATAACACGACCATTACCTATGCAAATGAAGGGAGCTGGGCTGGGGCAGGAGGTGCCCAGTAATAAATCATGTTGCTGTGGTTATTAACCACCTTATCTGAGGTGGGCCACCATCTGACCTCTGCGGACTTCTGGTTTCTTGGCTTATTTACATCAGTAGCCCATTCCGCCAGAGATTCTAGGCATGTGAGGGGTTAACTCCCCTTAACTCCTGTTTTGAGGTCAGTGTAGCTTGGGGCCAACCGGGGCTACAAAGAAAACATTTGACTCCTGACTCCCCTGTGCTCTTTAGCCAATTACTTAACCTCTCTGTGCCTCAGCTGCTGGGTACATAAATAATAATGGCCCTCGTGAATTCATCTCTTTCCTGGTCAAGACATGGTCTGGGGAATGGTGGCAGATGTGTGTCTAGTCGGACTGTCCCATGCCATTTCTATCTGACCATCTCTCATGGGGTAGGATGATATTGCAGAGATTTATGTCCCCAGAAAAGGCTGGGGAGGGTGAGTAATGCCAGAGACATGGGCTAGGAAGAGCAGGTAGGCTGGCGGGTGGAAAAGTCGGTCCATGACTACACACATCCATCTTCCCCCTTGGTAACAAGAGAAAGAGGGAGTTATCAGTGGCGTAGGGTATGGGGGAAAGGGCTTCTTACCTTAACAAACCTTCCACAATAGTTTGCCATAGAAGCTATGCCCTTTTCAAAATCGGGCTGAAGGTGAGATAGTCGTTTCCAGCTTCCAAAGGTAATGACATATATTATGTTTTTTTCCCCTCTTTTATACTAACCTATATGTCTCAGGCCTTAGCAACCTAAAACTACCAAAAGATTTTCAGTGCCCTTCTATACTGAAATTCCCTCATACCCCAAGGACATGAAGGAAACACTGTCAGGGTTGTCGGCAGCTAAGTAAGTTTCTCAATTCTTGCACCATCAGCTCTCGGAATAGAGTTGATGTAGACTCTCTCAAGTAGACTCTGAGGCTCCAGTTACTCAGAACTCTACCATTATGATGCAATTGAAGAGTAGGCAGAAGAGTCAGATAGGGATAAAAATATCAGTTTGTGGTGGTCAACTAGATAGGAAAATGAGGTGAGAATCTGAGATCAACGTGGGCTTCTTCCCTTCTGTATTGCAATGTCCTATCTGGTTCTAGTTAAAGAGATTGGTTGAAGAGCTACTGGTCTTGCCTGGTGAGCTTACCAGAAGGAGTAGATAAGGGTGTTTGTGGTCTGTGTGCAGATAAGTGAGAAAGAGTGAGAAACTGTGAGATAGAATGAGTATGTACATGTCCCGATGGAGACCAGAGCCTCACTGGCTCTTTATTTTACTGTATGTCCCTGTAGTAGATGTATACTGGGGTGGCTCCTAGGGTCTCACTCCCTAGGGTTTATGGCCTATACAAGGGTACTTCAAAACATTTGCAGAAAAATGGAGTTAAAGTACAAAAAATTTTGAAATTCATGCATCATTTTTATTTAATGCCCATATTCTATAAACTTTTGGAAGACCCCTTGTATAATCCATGGCCCTGAAGTGTGAGAAAGACTATGACCTCCCTCGTGTAACCATGTTATAGATGTTTGAGGTTGTAGATAGGCACCACCTTGAAGGTGAGTTGAGGTTTCCCCCACATGTAGTGAATATTCATTCTTACCATCACTCATCCTAGGGTACAGTTACTCCTGGAACCAAAAAATAATAAAATAAAATAGAATTGGAGTTGGAAATCAGAATCGGTTGGTCTTTACTCAGGAAATATAGGAAGACATGGAACCTTCCACATAGAAGGCAGATCACAACTGGATCCCGCCCAGTAAAGGACATGAGTTGGTTTCTGCCAATGGACCCTAAGGATAGCCAATGCTAGAAACAATGAAATTCTCTTATATCCAAAGGTTTAGTGAGAGCTTATTAAAAGTCATAATCTGATCTCAACTGGGCTAAAAATTAGGGAACACTAAACCCCTGTTTCAGAAGGAAGAACCCAGAAAAAGAATGGGTACTCCTCTCGGTGAAGCCAGTTTTGGGGGTCTTCAGTGGCAGGCTCCAGCCTAAAAGTTAGGACCAATCAATGATCCCTGTGGGGTCATCAGCAACAGGGGCAGTAATAAGGCAAGAACATGAGAAGATCAAAGAGACCAGAAAAGTCTGAAGTACTCATTTCATAAGAGAAATAGAGGGAATGGACAATTTGATGAGTCTATCATAGGGGGCAATTAAGCTACTATGAAAATGTACCAGGTGTTAATATTATTTTGGTTGGAAACAAGAGCAAGTGGCTCTGGCTAGATTGTTACCTCTTTCTTTAGAAAGCACAGATGAAAGTTTTATATGAAAAATACTTAGATACCTCAAGAAACAAAGAAAGAATTTGAACAAGAAGCACCAGCTAAGAATGTATAGTCTGCAGACAGGACTGGATCAGATGGAAATTGCCCCAGGAATAGCCAGGACAAGGTATTTAGAGAGTTCTAGAAAGTCAAGAAAGGTGAAAAAGGGGCACAATCCAGCTACCAATGCCTGAGGATAGAGAGAATAGGAAGACCAGACCAACAATCCTATGAGCAGAGAGAACTTACCCAAAAGAAACAGGGAACATATGGCAAAGAAACCATCCAAATGAAGAACTGGGTGGACCAGAATGGAAAGGGATGACTTAGCTGGGGCTGACATTGGCACAAGGGTGCAAAGTCTTGCCTCATTTCTTTGGAAATCAGACAAGACCTGCCTGATTAGTCTATTTTATTCAGTATTAAATAATGTCATGTGTAGATGGGAACAGTCTAGTGTAAGTTGTATTGTCCTAGATCTACTTTACTCAGAGTAAAGGTTTATAGTTTCCTTCTTCCAATCTCTGCACCTGATCTTTGGGGAGCAAATAACTGACTAAGACAACAAGCATATGGAATGTCTCTCCCAAACACAGTAATTGTCAGGCATACCTCTTCTAAAATTTAGATTTAGGAAAAACAAACAAATAAACAAACAAACAAAAAACATTTCCAATAAAATATGTAGGAAAAGGGTTAGGATAAATTTAAATGTATAATATTAAACAGGATATTTATTGAAGATTCCTAAATTTAAATGTATAATATTAAACAGGACATTTATTGAAGATTCCATTTGAAACATCAGTGTGAGGCTTACCTCCTAGCTACAAGGTTGATCTTCTTCAAGAACTATAATGTGTGCTTGTCTTAGATTTGCATTGGTCAAATGTTTCTTATGATGAGTTTTCCAAAGGAATGGTTTTCCCCAAAGGCATAATTCTAGACTCCAATGAACTTCCTATGACATGTGGCTGGTTATTTGGTAGAGCAGGGGAGAGAACCTTCTACTGGGTGTTAAAAGAATGAATTCCAGTTCTGTCTCTATCACAGAAAGTCTTATTAGATTGAGCAGTCATTTAACTGTGTAGTATCTTCATTTCATTCGAAAAAGAGGGGTGGAACAAGGTGAATTAGATGGCATCTTTTAGCTCCATGTTTCTGTGATTACCTGGGGGTTAGTAGACAGGATATAACTGAGACAGTGATACCAGATGTAAGAAACCTAGCTGCTTTATTCCAAGCTGTAATGCAGTAGGATTCAAAAGCCTCTGTGCCAGTTGTTCTGCTAATGCTTGGGAGTGATAGATCTGAATAGACACTGACATGCACAACTCACTGTAATGCTTGCAAAGGGTGGGACCCACCCTCATGAGTGGAAGTGCCTCCCTTCCTCATGTTCAGGCCAACCTCTGGATTATCACTATTCAGGGAGGGCTTGTCTGATTTGCAAAGAGAGGCAGTCAGGCAAGACATGGCACCCTTGTGCTAACAGTAGCCCCGGCTAAGTAATCCTCACCCCATTCCAACAATTCTGTGTTTGTTCTGTGTTACAATTGGGTCTTCTCTGTTCTTAGGATTGTCTGGTTTTCTTGTTTCCTTCCTGTCCCCAGGCTTTGGTAGCTAGGCCTCTTTCTAGAACTATGAGCACCTATCCCTGGCTTGTGTAGCCACTCCCATTTGATCCACCTCTCTTACCTGAGGCTCTGCTTTCCTAGCTGATGCTTTTTTTTTGTTTCC